AAATGCATCTCCTAAATTAGAGTCCACTCTTCAATAAGACAGTATCTATCTAATTAAATAAATAGTATTTTATACTTCTACTTAGGAACTGGAACTACATTTACAAACAAAACTTACAGTGAAAAACAACACTGGGACTGTGAGTATAACCGCAACAATGACAGCAACACGGACTGTTAAGACCAAGATGTCATCTTTACTCTGGTACTTGTGAAGCAGATTGGACTGTACATTTTCTGCAGGGAAGACAAGGACAGGGTAGTGCCAGCACTTAAGCAATTAATTTATAGAAGCTGCCACTTAGCAAGAGCCATCTCAAACAAAATGTGATTAATCTACAGACAACAGAGCTGGCAATGAAGCAAGCTGGATTGAAAACACCATTTTAAGCCATGCTCCAGTGAGCCTTGAAATTCTAATTCAGGCTGAAACCTGATACGTATTTGTTTGGGAGTAAGTCCCACAGAACCCAATAGAAGCTTACTACACACCTTCTTGTGTAGGTGTGAACTTCAACCTGTTTGGAGAAATAATGCAAAGGCTTAACTCAGAGCACTTTCCATAGGTTCATTTAAATCCAAGCAATTACAATTAATGTAAAAATATCAATATTTTATAAATAGGTCTAAGAAATCATGATGGCTTCAGTTGTTGTTGTTGTTGTTGTTGTTGTTGTTGTTGTTATTATTATTATTATTATTCTGCTTTTTCCCTAAATTTGGGAATCAGAGTGGCTTACTATTTAAAAGAACAGTACAATTAAAAACATACAAAAGTGAGCATTAAAATAGAATTAAACTATTACAATATTAAAACAGATCACTTGTTAAAAGAACAAAATGTAGTTTAAAAAGATAAAAGTGCTTAAAAACAGTACACTATAAAACAATATAACATCTCCAGCCCATTCTTTAAAGACTTTCTGTTTTAAAAGCCTGTCTAAATAAAAATGTCTTAGCCTATTGACGGAAGGATGACAAGGAAGGGGCCACTTTGGGCTCCCTGGGGAGTTCCAAAGTCTAGGGACAGCCATCGAAAGGCCCTCTCTTGTGTCCCCACAAACTGTGCTTGCAATGGTGGTAGGGCTGAGAAGGGCCTGTCTTGATGATCTCAGATCCTGGGCTGGCTCATACAGGGAGATACGGTCTGTCAACTAGCCTGGACATGAACCATATAGAGCTTTATAGGTCATAACCAGCACTTTGAATTGTGCCTGGAAACAAACTGGCAGTCTATCTTCAAGTCATTTCTGACTTATGGTGACCCTAAGACAACCCTATTGTGGGGTTTTCTTGGCAAATTTCAACAGAGGGGGTTAGCCATTGCCATCCCCTGAGTCTGAGAGAGTGTGACATTCCCAGGATAGTCCAGTGGGTTTCATGACCAGGCAGGGATTCAAACCCTGTTCTCCAGAGTCATAGTCCAACATTCAAACCGCTACACTAGCCCTAAACCAGGAATGTCTCATTTAAAAATAACAAATATTTATTTCCATTGACTATGATTATGGGGCATTGCAGACCAGCTCAAAGGGCCAGCCTGGGGGGGAGTTGAGGCGGAGCAGCTGCACGCCGGCCGCCCCAATCCCAGCCTGATGCTGTCCTGATGCTGTGCGGCCGTACGCACAGCATGCAGCGTCAGGATGCCCTCTCGGCACACCATACAGAATGCTGTACCAAAAGAATGTAGAAGAGCCATGCCGCCAGTTCTTAGGGGCAGCCTTTGGCCACTCCTAAAAGGGACAGCATTTTCCCGCTCTTTTAGGGGCAGCAAAATGAAGGATCAGGGCTGCAGTGTGCGGTTGCCATGGCCCCGATCTGCCACTCCCTGGGGCGGCTCTCTGCTGCCCCAAACGGGCCATCTGCATTGGCCCTACATTCATTACTAATATGTAAGATGTTGCTAAACAATGAAATTCCAAATAAACCCCACAATGAAATCAATGTGAGAAGGGATGAGGTAAAAAATCTGTATTTAAAAGACAGACTTATATTCATCATACTTAGCTTGCAACTTTTTCAAGCTTTCAAACAGGGCTAACCCAGTTCTTATTAATGGCATTTCCTGCTGTTTTTAGATGCTCTAATGCATCAATGATGAAGTTTTTCTGTATGTATTATATTTCATTCTGCTATTCCTCTATAAAAAGCTCAAGACTACTAACAAATATTACTGAAAATTAAACAATAAAACCATTCAAAGAAGCACAATAATAAATAACCATAACAGTTTAAATGGTCAGATTGAAAACATGTGTCTTTTCACACTACAGTCGCCCCTCCATTCTTGTGGGAGGCAACCTCTGCTAAAATCAATGGGGTGCGCCCCTGCAGGGACATGCCCCATTCAAGCCTATGGAGCTTGAATATTGGCACATCTCCATTTTCACAGGGGAGTCTGAAATGGATCCCTTGCAAAAATAGAGGGCCGATTGTATTCCGTAAGAGCTGAACACAACTCTAAGGGGAATGTATTCTACAATCTTGGGCCAAAACAAGAGAAAGCCTTCTTCCATATGCCCAACAAACAAGCCTCCATAGGCAACAGTATTCTCCTGAAGATTTTAATATCTGGTCAGGTTCATAACAAGATAGGGTAGTCCTTTAGAGAGCAAGGCTCCAAGCCTTTGAACATGACTGTGGAGCCATAGATCTGTGCTTGTAACCAATATGTTGCACAATGTTGTTTCTTATGCTGTCAGGATACAACATAAGCCTAACACTTTGTGTGAAAGTCAATGTGGTATAGTGGTTTCAGTATTGGACTAGAATACTAGGACAGCAATGTTTGAATTCTATCTTGGCCGTGGAAACTCAATGAGTGGCCTTTGGCATCACACTCTCTCAGCCTCAGAGAGAGGCAGTGATAACCCCCCTGAACAAGTTGTGCAGAGAAAACCTACTGATATGGTTGCCTTAGGGTCACCATATGTTAAAAATTACTTGAAGGCAACATTTTAGTGTAGAGCAGGTTGCTGTCCCTCAGACAACTGGTGGGCCGAAGCACCAAAAACAAACAAACAAACAAATAAATAAATACAAATACAAATTAAAATTAAAAAAAAATTAAAAAAATGCATGCACACACTCTCAGCCCCAGAAAAGCCATGGCAAAACCCCTGTGGAGATTTTGCCAAGAAAACCCCAAGAACAAGTAATAACAACAATAATCAATATCATCATGGCGGGCGGCAGCGGGGGGCAGCAGGGGGTGGCGGCGGCAGCAGGACCGACCTGGGGCCAGTCCAAAGGCCTCGGGGGGGGGGCGCATTCGGCCCCTGGGCCTTAGGTTGCCTACCCCTGGTGTAGAGTTTCTCTTGCTCCTTTCATAAAACACTTAGTGATCAGTACACATGTTCCTCCCCACAGTGTGAGGTATGATATGACAGAGGGCTGTGACCCAGTTTTTGAAGGGGGCTATGGCCCAGTTTCCTCACCACACTTCTCCTCAGAATACAAAAGAATTTACATGCAGGGAAAGAGAATATGTCATCCTATAAGCATAGGATCTTCAGATTTGTATCCCCCTCTCTGTGTATGGTGAGAGTAAAGAAGAAACACCTCACACCATTATAAAAAATCAGAGAGCAGATAGTAACATATATCTTTTAAACACACACACACACACACCAACCAGTGTTTCCCCACACCAACATTTTGTTTAAAAGAACAGTAAGGCAGAAAAAAACTGCCTAGATTTTCATACACATGAGCAAAAACTGCTTACCTACCATAAAATGTCAAATAGCCAAAAATGGCAGTTAAGAAGTACATGACAAACATGGCAAAGAAAGAGATTTTTGAAACCATCTGCATCCTTTTCTGTGAGCGACTGGGGGGGAAAAAAGAAGGCAGGGGAAGGAAAATGATTATTTTGTATTTTACTTGAACACACAGTACAGACAATATATCTTGATACAACCAAATACATCAATAAGACCTGAGACTCCTGGGATCTCTAATCGCAATGGTAAAGAAGAATGACTTGGGCCAAACAATGGCCTACTTGTCATTCCATCTTCTCCTGGTGTTAATGACTCAAAGGATAGTTCACAGGTTGCTTTTATAATATGTACATACAATTGCATCCACAAATCTCTAGGAGAAATGTTTGATGTGATCTGGGCAGCACACAGACAAAACCATATAGATTCTTCTGATGAATGACTGAAAAAGTGCAACCATTTGCTGTCTCCATATAAAATCCAGCCTACTTTAATATTTTACACACCATTGTATTTATTATACTATATTTGTGTGCTGCCTGTCAAAATGGCTCACATTCATAACATGGAGCAGTTAGATACAATATACAATAAGAAGTTCAGAGCAAAAGAAACAGTGGCTATTGACAATACCAAACTACACTGTTATTGTGCTATTATTCCATTTATATTGCTATGGCTGCCTCTTGTGGAATCCTGGGATTTGCAGTTTAGGGAATGGCATTTAGAATTCTCAGCCAAAGAGCTTTTAGGACTAACAAAACTACAAACCCCAGAATGCCACAAGAGGCAGCCAAGGTAGTAAAAGTGGAATAGTGCTATAATAGCGTACTGCAGTATTGTCCTAACATTGGGACTAAACAGACTGGCAGCTTCAGTCAGCTTCGGGGCGGTGTGGGGCATGGCGTTTGGATGCTGCACACCCTGACACTTCCCCCAAGTTGGCGTCACATCACCCGCCTGATCACATGGCAGGCAGTGTTGCGGCACTCCAGTGACATGGCGTTTATACGCCTCACATTGCAGGAGTGCTGAAAGGCCACCTCTTTGCTGCTGCAGAAAGCAGCAGCTTTTTGCCACTTTTTTTGTGGTGGCAAAATACTGGAAATGGGCCATGCAGTGCAGCTGCCTCACCACCCACCCAGCTCTTTCAGGGAGGCGTCACGCCATCCCTTTGAGCCGGTCTGTTTTGGCCCAGTGACTGGCAAAATCTTATAAAAATTATAAATTAAAAGCAAAGTTTTTAATGGAGAGAATTACATAAATGAAGTGCCTTTTCTCTGGTCATAGTAAAAAGGTAAAGGTAAAGGTATTCCCAGTTGACAAAGTCGTGTCCAACCATAGGGGAGGTGCTCATCTCCGTTACTAAGCCAAAGACCCAGTGTTGTCAGAGACTATTCTGTGATCATGTGGCCAGCATGTTTACCTTTGCACCGAAGTGGTACCTGTTTATCTACTTGCATTTGCATGCTTTCGAGCTGCTAGGTTGGCAGAAGCTGGGACTAGTGACAGGAGCTCACCCCACCATGCAGCACCTGGGCCTTGAACTGCCAACCTACTGATCTTGCAATCAACAGAGTCAGTGTCTTACCACTTAAGCCACTGCAAGTCATAGTAATTTTTCCAGTCATAGTAATATCCCTCTAATGGCAGAGGACACCTGCATGCAGGCCTCCAATAACAATGTGAATGCACTGCAATTATGGCACTGCAGCCACTTATCTGTAGTTGACTCAGGGTAAATTAACTCATTCTCAGGATCAAACTACTTATGACATCAAATATATGGTTTAACAATGAAATCTCCCTCCCTGTAAACAGCAGCTGCTGGGAGGTACAAGAAGGATCAAGACATTGGTGCGGGGTGCTTAGGTCCATGTCATATCCTGATAAAAATGCACTCTCCCAAAGACTTATTTGGTATGAGAGGGCTAAAAGAAACATTCCTCCCTTGACAAGTAGCAATCCTTGAAGTGGACAGGATTGATCAGAACCATGGTGTGCGAAGAAATGCCACCACCAAGCTTCAAAATGCAAAATGCATCTCTAATTTATAGCAGGCAATTATCTAGCCTAAAACTCTTGAGAACCCTTCCTTGTCAACAATACTAGGCTAGATGGTCCAATGATCTGGATTAAGATTAAACAGCTTATTCTGTTCTTGTGAGTTAATCTTCTCTCTTATGCTATTACATCCCTTCTACTTTGTGTGTGAATCCAATCATGCTTTTTGATAGTTACCATTTTCAAAGGGAAAGGAGGAGCATATATGAAATAATGTGATATTAAAATATAAGGTTTACCCTTTGCTGCTTATCAAACTTTAATATCTAACAAAATAATTTAGTATAGTCAGGAAGTCCAGCAAAAGAAAACTATAAGGTATGGGTTGGAGGCATGAAAAAGTCTTATGCAGCCTAGAAACTTGACATAATTCGGAGGCTCTTGACTTTGATTTAAAAAAAAATAGGTTTCTAGACCTCACAATCTATGGAAGAACAATAGTCAGAAAGAGCAAGGGTAGCATGGATGTAATGGTTAGAAAAGAGAGCAAGGAAACCCAAAAACTCAAAATAAGCTCTAATTAATTAATGTTTTCAAAACCATTAATTCTTAGGTCTGAAAGATAAATGATGATCTCCCCCTCTCCTGTTACCATGGCACTAGCTGTATATCATGCAAAAAATAGTCACAAGGAAAAATTATTAGCAGAATGTAGACTCTAACTCC